CTCTCATATTCACAGCTTATCACAACGTATGTAAACAGTAAGAACGATCAACTTTTAATTTTCGATACAGATTGGCAGATTGGTGAGTATTTTTTAAAATTTCTATAAGTTTTTTACAATGCTACTGAATTACTTTATGGAGTTTATTATCCTACTGCCCATTTAGCTTTACATCAACTATTCAATATTTCAGAAACATTTTTTTATTATAGGGATACAGAACTTTTTGGAGACATAATTAAGTTAATGGAAGCTAAATTTAAAAGTTATTGGTCAGGTTATCCTATGTTATATGCATTAGCAGTCATTTTAGATCCTAGGTGCGGTGTAGATGGGACTACATCATTGATGACTGCTATAGCAGAAAATTTAAAAATTGATATGCAACTAACTATTACTGACGCTAAAAAAAAGTTAGAAAAGGTATTTAGTTTGTATGAAGTAAAATACGACACAGGTAAAAAAGAACAGGGAACTTCGACGTCAACTAGCAGTTCGGGGCCTGAAGGATCATCGCGAAGTTTCTTGAAGAAGAAAGAGAAAATGACAGGATCGTCATCAACACAAGTGTCTACCGAACTAGTAAAATATTTTGAAGCAACTTTTGTAATCGATGACGGCAAACTAAACATCTTACAGTGGTGGAAGAGCAAGACCGATCATTTTTCAACACTGTCCGTAATAGCTCATGACATTCTGACAACTCCAGTGTTAACGGTAGCATCGAAGCAAGCATTTAACGCAAGCAACCGAATTCTTAATGATAAGAGAAACAGAATGCATCCAGATATCTTGGAGGGGCTAATGTGCGTTAAAGACTGTGAAGATGCCAGAAGACGAAAACAACAATACACGGATGGTTCAATGCAATACTATTTTTCTAACTTAGAAATAACAGAATCTTCTGAAAGCACTTAGGTTTGTAATTTAATATTCCTACTGCACTCTTTCTTCCTTCGCTAAGTTTTTGTCCCAATCTCTCCATGGGTTTTACTTGGCAAGGTTTTTAACGAGGCAGTAATTTATGTGTACTTATTCATATTATGTCAATTCAATAAAATCACATCTTTTGGGGGCATATGATATATTTTTTTAATTAAATTTAAAAAAAAAAATACAAGGGTCTGGGCCGGCTCGTGAAGGGCCTAGGCTCAGGCCCGGCCCTGGCCCTTATGGACTAGGGCTGCGGGCCTGGACCGGGCCTGAGTTTTTCTCCTCAACCCCGGCCCAGGCACGACCCTACATTGTGCAGGGTCGTGCCAGGCCCGCCACGGGCCTGGTGTTGGATGTGCCATGCCGACTCGACACAGCACATTTGACACCTCTATAAAAAAAATGGTCTAGATCCTCAATTGTTGTTTTGTTTCGGTCCCTTTCGTCAAAATTTCTCCTTTAAAAAGCTAGAAAGTAAAATGAGAGATAGAGAGGAGCTGACAGCGGCGTAGGGGGAGTTTGGATCTGATAATGACGGCGGGAAAGAGGGACTCCGATCTCGCAATGGCAAAGAAAGGAGGCTCTGATTTCGCAACGACAGGGGAAGTAGGGTCTCGATCTTGCGATGGAGAGGGACGGTGGGTGGGTCTCGATCTTGAAATGCAAGGGGATGAGATAGTTTGTATTGTGTACGGGAGGTGGTTGGCGATAGGGTTGCAGAGGTGGTTGGCGATAGGGTTTCGAAGGTGGTGGGGAGTTTTGAGACTATGTTGGGTTTCTAGGATTTTCTTTGTATTTTGATTAGATGAATGCTTTGAGTAGCTAATTTGGATTTTGGATAGGTGTTGGCCTTTGTTTCCATTTTCTTTGAGAACATTATAGACATGGGTCTATTGTACTTTTGCTACAAGAAATGGGTTTGATTGCTATCACGTATTTTGATGGTTCTTAAGTATATTAGAACTGGGTTTATTGGTTGTGGTTTGAAATTAGTTACATTTGATAGTTTTTTCAGATAAATTTAGATAGTCGAAATTCAATTTAACTGTATCTATTTTTAATTTATGTTCAAAGAACAATAAATCCTAAAGTTGACTTTTTTGGGTCTGTTGTATTTTGAATGAAAGAATGGCTTTGTTGTTAAAACACCCATACCCAAAAATATTTTGGTTTAGTTCAAGAAATAAAGCGTTAAAATCATTTCAGGAGCTTTTTTTTCCTTCGCGAATTAAGACCATTTGTAGAGAAATTGGTCATAAACTTCAAAATACAAAGAGACAAGAGGAAGATCAATGGACTCAGATCCAATGCAACCAAACACATTATTAGGATTTGAGTTTTTTTTCCTTCTTTTGTTTGAGGGCATTTTGGTCTTTTTCTTATAAAAGAGAACACATGATGTTGCAACAGAAAAGGGCTTAATTGTCAATTTTTTAAGAGTTTAAGGACTATTTTGTCAAAATTAGAAAAAGATGGCCCAAACTGTCACTTACTAAATAAGTTAGGGACTATTTATGCCAATTATTGATTTTTATTTAATTCATAAGAATGGTAGTTTGGGCATTATAGGTCCCAAAAATCAACTTCAGAGTATCAAAAATATGCTTTTAAAAACGTCAAGATACTGTTTTAATACTATTAAAAATAAATGGTACTAAGAACATGTTTCACTATAATACAAAGTACCAAAATATTTTATCCCACGTCTTATAAAATGAGTTCTATAAAAAAACAAAAGAAAAGTATCATAAGCAAAAAATAAACATAGTTCTATTTACACACCTCTCTTTACTCTTCACACCCCTTTTTAATTATAGTTTCTTATTAGAAAAGACTCTCTTGTAAAATGAGAAAAAAAGATTAATATAATGACTTAATTACATAATTAAATTTTATTATAAAAATATTGATATTTAGTTTTTTCCCTTTACATACCTCACGTATCATATTCTCAAATTACATTGCTATTTTGAAATCTATGATAAAATTTTTATTTTTTTCCACTTAATACCTATTTCACAAAATTACATAGAAGTATGTTAAATTTTCTTTGCTATTTGTTCTATGGTGATTGTTCTTTTGCCTTTTCTTTCCTTCGTTTTGTTTTAATATTTTTTACTTTTCTAATTATTTCATTTTTAAAAGGACAAATCATTTTGTTTTATTTTTTTTCATTTCTTATAAAGTATAATTGATTCTTTTCCATTTTGTTCTTTATTTGTTTTTTTATTTCTTCATTTAGTTTATTTATTTTGTATTTTTTTTATTTTGTATTTTTTATCATACCTCAATAATATAATAACTTTGTTACCATATTTTTTATTTATTTTTTATTTCTTAAATTATATTGCTTTCTATTTTATATTTTTGAGTGTCTTTTATGTTTTCTAAAAAGTTATTTTAATAAATTTTCTTCCTGTATAAAAAAATCGCCAGGCCTAAAAAATAGAGAATATGGAAATGATAATATTAAAATAAAAAATTAAAACAAAATAGTGGGTGTGAAAAGAAAATTGATCAAGAATTAATAATCTTATGAAAATAATTTGGGGTAAAATTTTAGAATAATAGGAGTGTGTAGAAAGTAAATTTAACTATTTTAAGCGTCAGGCCTAAAAAATAGGGAATATGGAAATGATAATATTAAAATAAAAAATTAAAACAAAATAGTGGGTGTGAAAAGAAAAATGTTCAAGAATTAATACTCTTTTGAAAATAATTTGGGGTAAAATTTTGGAATAATGAATTTGTAGAAAGTAAATTTAACTATATTATAATGATGTGTGGTGTGTGTTTAGAAAGAGAGTGTGGAGAGTAAAAATGAGGTGTGTATGTAGAACTACCCATAAACTTATATTTAGTCTTATAAATATAATAGGAAAAAAAACCTACCAACAATCTTGTATAATATAAATAGCATATAATCAAATGTAAACTATAAAGTAGACAATTTATTTTATTTTATTTATTTACTTTAGAGTGATTTATGATACGATTTTGTCTATTTTAATACTATTTTTACCAAATTTTTGATACTATTCAAATAAAAAGGCTATAAATAATTTGGATAAAATTAAACTTCAATAGAATTACATTAAAATAAAATAAAATCACACCTTATTAAATTGTTCATAATTTTTCCCCTTTTCTTGCCCACTTGAAAAGCAAAAAAGCTACTCCCACTGACATGAACTCGCTTATGCTTGCACGTGCTCTTCACGCACCAATCATAGTTGTCAATAATCTTGATCCAACAGTCGAAATAATTTTGTAAATTTTATTATTATTATATTTATTTATTTATTTTGAATTGATTTGTGGTCTAATTTCATCCATTTTAACACCGTTTTGCACTAAATTTTTTATGCTACTTAGATAAAAATACTATAAATAATTCGAATGAAAAATAAAATTAAAAAAATACACAAAAATAAATAAATGTGTGTTAAATTAAATAAAAACAAAATATAACTAATTTAAAATTTTTTTCGGTGTATTTTGCTTCGTGTCTTTTTCCACTTTTGTCTTCATTTATTTGATGTCCCTTTTTTTAAACAATTTGCATAACCATCATTTTAAATAAATCATGTGTACGTTAATTTCAATCCGATAATCGTAATAATCTCTTATTTTATTTTTTACATTTATTTGTTATATTTATTTATTTTGAATTGATTTGTGGTCTAATTTTATCCGTTAATTCAGACATTTTACATTAAATTCTCAATATTATTCAGATAAAATAATTTATATGATCATTGTTTAAATTAATCACGCGTGCACAAGATTAATCCCTTAAAAAAAAGTCAAAACAAGGACAAAAGGCTTTGTAAAAATCAACAGCAGCAAAACAGCCACATCCCCATCATACAGTTCAGATTAATCCTTGATTATTCTAAATTAAAAGTTTATTTAATTTATTAATTTAAATTTTTAATTTGAGTTAATATGTAATTTTGTGTGAAAATTTTTTATTATAATAAAAATTAAGTATAATTATTTTTTAAAATTTTTATTATTATAAAATTTAAATTTTAAACTCGAATCGGTGAAATGAACGCGTTTCTTCTGGGGCATCGTAACCGAATCACAACAAGCAAAGTCCAGTCTTGTGTCTTCGCCGCATTTTCTGGTGACCTCCTTGGCCATGTGTTACGGTCAGCAGCGATCTTTTCCCGGCGACGAAAGCCAAACCCCTTCCCGCACCGCCCGATCGGCGGCGGCCGACAACGCGGCCGTGGTCGAGAATCTGCGCGGCCGGCTGGCGGAGACGGAGGAGCGGCTGGCGCGAGCCAGGGCTCGGGAGGCCGAGCTGAGCCGCCGCCTCGAGGAGATGAAGCGCTTCGTCTCCGTCATGGAGATCCTCGAGACCTACCTCAAGCGCCGCTTTCGCGAGCAACAAGAAGATGTCGCTCGCCTCTTCTCTCCGCTCACGCATTCATAGAACAGCCACGCCATTCCCGGTGATTTTGATACGAAATCCTTGTTCATATCATACTTTTTTTTGTTCTTTTTTGCTTTAATTTAGTTGATTTAGGGTTAAAATCATCACGCTTCTGTTTTCCCTCATTTCAATTGGATTCATCTTTTCCAATGGAATTAGCTGAAAATTCACGGAAGTTTTTATGTTTGGGTTCGAATATAATTCACAGAAAATCGAATGCTTCAGGAGTTCCATTTTGTTGTAATTATGTTGGATTTCTTGCTAATTGCTAATTATGATTCAACGTAATATTAGATTTCTTAGCGGATTAAAGAAAGAAATTTCTTTATTTGCCGTATATGATTTATCCGAGGCTATTAACTTAGTAACAAAATTTGAACGTGAACTTATGGAGCTTAGTGAGAGCACTTTTGAAGAAGGGTCTAAGGAGAAGCAAAAGTTGATTGTTGAGGGCGTAGTTGTGGATGAGAGCTCTTTTGAAGTTGAGGTTAAAGATGAGCAAATTTGTCTTGAAATACAAAGTGGGTCAACAAATCAAGTTGTTGGAGAAAATGCAAAAATCGATGCTCAACCTGTGGAGTCAACAATTAAGGGCATTGCATTTGAGGATTTAGGGGTTAAGCCATTGATTTTTGGTGATCAATCTTGTGGAATGCTAAGCATTGGGTTTGTGGATCTCTTGGCCAAGGAGGCAAGGCGACGCCAATGGCGAATAGCTTGGGTATTTTTGACATTCTGTTGGACTATTGCCTTGGTACCGTTGTGGATTTGGGAAGTGCTTCAACGTGACTTGTCCGTTGGGGTCTACCATTCTCACAAGACCAATAGGGGTCTCTTTCATGTTGACTTCCTTGAGCTTCCTTCATTCCACATTGGCGCTAGCTACTATTGGTTCATCTCCGAGTGCATCTACCAAACTCGAGGTCGAGTTCTTTTTGATAGACAGGGTGAACTGATATAGGGATAATTAGGCATAAGTAGTCATTTTTTATATTTTCATATGTCGTTTATTTTAGCTTATTAGTTTAGCTTAGTTTTGATTAGTATGTCGTTTATCTTAGTCGTTATTTTGTTATCGTTTTCTACGTGAGCTATAAATAACTAACTTAGTTATTGTATTAAGGAGACTTTGAATATTTTGATAATTGAATTGGACTTGAGTTTCCTTTCTAATTTGGGGTTTTCCCCTTTGTGGGGTTTCATTTAGGTAGATTAAGATTGCATGTCCTCTCTTCCATCTGGGTTAGGCCAGTAAAATCTCGTTCCAGCCATTTCGCTGCATCATTATAGGAAATAGAAACCCAAGTATTTTGGTTGAGGAGAGGGCCAAGAATGGTTCTTTTATGCAGTATTTTTTTTCCCCAAATGATCTTCATTTTTATGGGGAAGTTGTTTCCAACATGATGTCAAATCGAAACCCAATACAATCAGTAAATAAGTTAGTATGTGAGATCTAGAAAAGGCCTGTAGTTTCATTGCAACATGTTGTAGTTTATCCCATGTAACCTGCTTGTCTATATTGGCATGAAGGCAAGTGAAGCCTTCTAGGAATCCAAATTAAGGAATGTTTTTTTGTTCAAATTTCCAGTTGATGGATCAAGTAATGCTTAGATGATGCCAATGATTGTGGCGAGTTCCTCATCAATGTAGGAAGATTTAGTGAGTGATGAGATTTGAGAAAGGCCAAGACGAGATAATAACTAAATTCTTGGGTACTTATGGTCTGTACATTGTTACTGTGTTCAGTGTAGTTTTTTACTTCATATGGGTATTTTATGAGCCTCTAATGCAAGCAGCAAGAGTAAGGTTCTTTACCGGAAGTGAAATATGTTTTCTCAAATTGTTTTTTAACTTTAAGATCAGAGATTTGTCAAGGAAAGGATGAGTCGCAGCCACGATCATGGATAGATATACATGAATCTAGTGTAAAGTTATTTTAGCTATATATGCTGCTTGGGGATCTATCTTCAGTTCAATAGTATTCCAGCTTAACTGATCAAAGTGAATGATTCTTGAACAAAATGAAAAAGCAACCGGTGTCTTAATTTCCCTTTTACCTGCACTCCATTTTTATTTTCACGTTTCATATGCTAGTATGAAATTAACTGGAAATGATTAGGAGACATCATTAGATTATTTATTTGTTGTTGGCTTACATCATAATGGACCTTGGTTTTTATGTATTTCTTTTGCTTTAAGATTGATGAAATAGCTGGATGGGAGAATGGAAAAATCTTGGGCAAGATAGGTCTTGGAATATACACTGCATATGAGATTTGTAGCCTGGTAATCTTGGTTCCATTAAATGTGGGCTCGTTTCATTTTGGTTTTGAAAAGATATTGCATTAGTCTGTATAACCATAACTTATTTCCTGTCCATCCCTAATAGACAGGTTATTTGGATTATGTCTGTGTTTGAATGAGATAGAATGAAAATAAGAAGCTTGATTCTGAAATTTCCAGTAATAGAACACAATAGTCTGAAACTGGGAAATTTGTTCTTGGCAGGATGATGGAAGGGTAAGTTTGATGGTGGGATCTCACCGGCAGCCTATGAAAGATAACTTTCTTCAAGTGTCATTGTAAAAATGTTTTGAGGCAGCATTTGTTTTGTAATTGTCAGACAAAGCATTAGATTCTATGCACTTCGAATATTAGATAACTCCAGACCACACCACTGAAAGTTGAAAGGTGAGAGGGCACATGTATTACACACACGTGACATCTTCCCTTATGATGTCGCAGAGTTCAAAAAAAGCTTCATTTTTCTACTCTTTCTCTTCAGACTTTACCTTTTCAGTCACATTTTTAAGGCATTCGCAATGAAACTTTTTATTATTTTTTTCCCTAAACGGAGGGAACCATCCGGAAACAAGAAAACCATGGTAGTTGGCTAAAGCCAACTTTGTAGTTTGTACAGACTGTGAGCACTGCAGCCACACTACAAGACCAAGGAATCTAACCGAAACAAGCAGTAGACATGAATAAAATGGTCACTTGCTATGAAAATTGAAAGGCGAAAGCAATGTCTATCTTCCCTTAGAGGGCATTTGGTATGCAGTAATTAGTAATAATCATATTCATGGAAAACTGATAGGGGGTAATATAATTTCCAGGAATAATGCATTACTGTGTTTGGTTCCATAGATAAATCTTATCTCAAATTCTCAGGAATAATACCTTACTGTGTTTGGTTGTGTATGAGAATGTTGTGTATTAAAAAAAATTTAAACTTACAATTAATACTCATATATGTTAATAACATAATGTTATATTTTTTTAATATTTAGCCCATAACATTAGCACTAATATTTTAAAAAGTATTAAATATACTCAAGGCTACGGATAAAATTCACTTCTTCACCGCAAAAGCACTCTTTTTTCTCCACAGGAAGTTCTTTTACAAAAATGGGAAGAAATGTCTTGCCTCCCAAGTTCAGGGAATCTTGACCGACACCTTAAATCTAGCTTCAAACATCAAAAATCAAATCCTTTTTACGAATAACCATAACAACACGTTAGGAAGTAAAAAGTTTCATCAGTTACCCTTCTTAATCGAGGTTTGCCTAATTGATCACTAGCATTACAATCTTTCACGTTAGGAGATTCTCTTCGAGCATGTAATAAAGTAAAGCAAAAAAGGGTAAGAATTGGCTACACGCCAGAGTTTCGGCGAGGAAGAACCGGAATGAAATCGCATGTGTGTTAGGTGGAAAAGCTTCTAAACGAGGCTTCTCGGGAGTTCCGGGCAGCATCGGACGACCCATTTCAGCGTCGTGGTGGCGGCGGATTTCGAAGCTTGGCGGACCTTTACATCGTCATTTTCTGCTCCGGCGATCGCCTTCCCCAAAACGGCGCCGTCCACAGTGGCTGTGTATGCTGGCAAAGTGAACCATTCCGTGTCGTTCTTCTCGAAGGGGCGGAGTAGTGAGAAAGATGAGAGTGGAAGGTTGAAGGAGAAAGTTTGGCGACGCCATGGTCGGCAGTGCTAGTTGCTGGATGACGGTGGTGGATCGGAAGGAGGCGGCAACGGCATGGTCGACGGCAGAGCGGTGCCCGTTACCAGACGAAAAAGGGACGACTGGGTTTGGGAAGAGATGGGTGAGAGAGAGATTAAGGCTGTATATTATGATTTTAACTTTCCCTTGATATTAAACTTTCCTGAGAAAGTAAATAACACCCTCCTAGGTGGGTTTAGGATTACCTCAAAATGTGGTAATGTGAAACCTATGGGCTTTACTTTCCTGAGTTTAAAAAAAGTCCAATAATTGTACCAAATACGGGAATCTTTTATATTTCCATTCCCACTCCTAAGATTACCCCATACCAAATGCCCCCTTAAGGTTATGTTTGGTAAGAGAGAAAATAAGAAGAAAAATGGAGGTATATAAGTTAAGGGCATGTTTAGTTCGTTGATTCGAGTTTTTAATTCGAGTTGAAATGTGATTTTAAGTAAGGAAAATGGAGAGGAAGGAGAGAACCTCTCTCATTGTGTTCTATATGGATTCTTTCCCAATAAATATATATATATATATATATATATATATTAGGTACTGTGATTCATTTGAAATTTCTCATGCCCATGCACTTTTCTTCTATCAAACAGTCGGATACCAAAATCTTTTCACTAATCCCTTCACTCTCCACAATGTGATTAAGGGTCAGTTTAGTAGTGTTGTAAATTTTAAAAAAATTATTGTTAGCTGTGTCGATAAAAAAACGGATGTTCTAAAAATAGTTGAGCGTTTGATAACTGTAATTATACAAGTATTGATGGTTCTAAAAGCAGTGTAATAACGTTTGGTAAATTGTGAAGTTTAATTATTGTGGGTAGTGAAGATGACTAAAACAGACATGATATAAAATTTAAATTGTATAATTTTGTTTGTCATTAAGAAATATTTGTTTAACTTAAAAAAAAAAACACAATTTGTTCATGAGTTTATGAACATTAAATTTATAATAATTAATATTTTTTTTCATTTCTTCATTCACAATATATAGTTACAACAAAAATGAGCATTAATGAGTAATCAGCATTAGTGAGCATTAGCGAGTAATCAACAGAGAGAAGAGAGAGAAACAAAGAGAGAGAGAGAGTGAAGAGAGAGAGAGAGAGAAGGGGAGACTGAGAGAGAGAGAGGTGATGATTCTCATAAATTTTGGGTATGAGATTTTTAGATTTTAGCATGGGTAATATGTGTATCAGAAAGTTTCATTAATTGGGAGCAAGGAGATTGCCGCACAATCTAAAAGTCAAAATTATCTTTAGGCTGCTTATAATTTTGGATGTAAATTCTTTAAAAATTCTTTAAGAATCACTTTTTATGATTTTTACTAAATATAAATTTTAATTTGGAATGACTAAAGAATTAATTTTGAGTTCCAAAAATTACTATCAAACTGGGCCAAAGTGGAGTAGCGATACTACTTGATCCCTGTCAATTACTGCTGAAAGTTCGGGTGGCGGGCCTGCCTGAAGCCCGAAAATTTTTGGGCTCGGCAGGCAGGCACCATTCGCCGCCCGTCCGACCATTTTGGCCGGGTTGGGCTCGGGTAGCCCGAGGAAAATCCATTCCCAGCAGCTCACCGCTGGTGGAGAAGTCGAAATCGCCGTCTGCCTTTTTTTTTTTTTTTTTGAATTTTTCCGCGTAACCTGAATTTGCCCGAATTTTGCCTGAATATTTTTTACCGTTAGCCCGAATTTTGAACCCAACAGCTCTTTTTTTGCCCGACCCGACTGTTGCCTGAATTTTGAACCCCAACGGATATTTTTATTACCGTTGCCCGAATTTACCCGAACCCGACCTGACCGCCCGAATTTCTGTTATCGTTGGAACCGAATTTTTGAGGGAAAAATTATTTTTTTTCAAGCCAAAAAATTTCCTATAAATACCCCCCTCCCCCAACCATTTTCCTCACCAAAAAACTCTCATCCTCTCCTAATTTCTCTCAATCTCTCTCAAATCTCTCTTAATCTCTCTCAAATCTCTCTTAATCTCGCTTAAATCTCTCTCGATTTCTCTTAATCTCTCTCAAAGCGCTCTCAATCTCTCTTATTTTTCATAATGGCTTCTTCTGGTTATGGTGGTGATATTCCCATTGATGCCCAATTCAACATCGAAGAAGGAAAATTTCCTACTAATGTTTTTCAAACGCAGGAATCGCAAACAACAGAAAGAGCTGCTGAGGAAACTGCAAATCCGAGCCCTGGTGGACGTACTAAAGGTCGTGGACGTAATGGTGGTGGGCGTGGAGGAGAGGCAAGCAGAAGTGCTAGTGCAAGTGTTGCAAGTTCTAAGAAGAAATGTAAGCGCACCTCAACAGTTTGAGAGCACTTCAACACTATTCACAGTATTACACACTTGAGAAGATACTCTGAAAAGTAACTTCAAAAGCAAGGAGGCGGAGCCGATCTCCGCCAAACCCGATCTCCGCCAAACACAATTATCGTTTGACTGCCAAACTGGCGGTCTAAGCACGTGAAAATACGATCCGTAGTCGATCGTATAGAAATGGCACGATTAGTAGCCACATTAGATCAACCACTTAGTTTTACCGAACAAAGGAATTGACAGCGTTATATTAAAATTGTACATAATCCTAATACACAATTTTTTTTAAGAACTACTCTTAGGAAAGATGCATTAAAATTATATAAAGATGCTATAACTAACTATGTCAGTGTAAAATTAGGACTAGGATTTATAGACGAAACTGATTGACAAATTGCCGAACTATTGTATAACTTTTTAGGTAGATTTCACGAAATTACTTTAAAGTTTAGTGAAACTTATTACCTAACGTTACTATTAGCGTTAGAAGAATTTTTAAAAATGACTATTTTATTTAATGAATTTAGGATCATGATGAAGGAAAATATACACACGCACACTTTTGTGACCATAAAATTCATGGAACTTGAAGTTGTCCACACGGGCTCCGTTTGGTAGTGATTTTGAGAAGTCAAAAGCACTTTTTTTTTCAGCTGAAGTTAAAAAATGTGTTTGGTAAACACATGAAAACAAATTCTTAAAAAATCTAAAAGCTATTTTCAAGTTGAAATTAGAAGCAGCTCAATTGCTGCTTCTGATTTCTGATTATGCGGGAATCTCTTAAATTCATTAATGAAATTTTTGTTCTTCCCAAAATAACCCTCAAATCTGAAACTCTCTTCGTGATTTCAAGCTAGTGTACGGTACGCAATGCAAAACCCTAGCTCTTATGTTCATAGCAATATAGCTGGGTTTGTGAATCTGTTGGAGGTCTGTAAGTCGGCGAATCCGCAGCCGGCGATCGTCTGGGCGTCGTTGAGTTCGGTTTACGGGTTGAATTCGAAGGTACCGTTCTCGGAGAGGGACCGGACTGATCAGCCGGCGAGTCTCTACGCGGCAACGAAGAAGGCTGGTGAAGAGATTGCTCGCACTTATAACCATATCCACGGGCTTTCGATTACTGGATTGATGTTTTTCACGGTTTATGGACCTTGGGGAAGGCCAGACATGGCGTATTTCTCTTTCAGTAAGAATATTCTGAAGAGGAAGTAGATCACGATCTTTGAAGCGCCTAATCATGGGACTGTGGCGAGGGATTTCACCTACATTGATGATATAGTGAAGGGCTGTTTGGCGGCTTTGGACACGGCGAAGAAAAGCACTGGGAGTGGCGGGAAGAAGAGAGGAATGCTCAGTTGAGGGTCTTCAATTTGGGGAATACTTCACCGGTGCCGGTGACACAGCTTGTGAGGATATTGGAGAAGCTTTTGAAGGTGAAGGCCAAGACGAAGGTCTTGCCTCTG